CCTGTCTATCTCCTTTATATTCAGTCTCAATCAGCCTTCCCTTTAACTCAGTGGCACTGTAGGTAAGCAAGTCCTTCCCTACAAAAAGAACAGGCTGGTGGTGCCCCCTCCCTTTTAAGCCAGATCCACCCATGCCAGTAGTACCCTAGTTCATTGGCCAGGAGCTGTCCCAGTACCTTTTTTCTGCAAAGGCCTAATAGTCCACTTCACTCAGGACATTACAGGGAGGCAGCAGCCAATTCGTTTCAGTAAGGGGAAGGGGGAAGAAGGGGGAGGAGGAGGATATGGCACCAGAAGGTAACACAGGGTTCTTCCAAGCTTGGCAACAAAGTGCTGGCATAACTCATTAATACAGCAAGTGGTTCATATGTTCAAGGCCACATACTGAATTAAAATAAAAGTACTAATAAGGTTAAGTAAGCATTCCCCCAGAAGTTTCCACATTTTAAAAAGGTAAAGGGACCCCTGACCATTAGGTCCAGTACGGATGACTCTGGGGTTGCAGCACTCATCTCGCTTTATTGGCTGAGGGAGCCGGCGTACAGTTTCCGGGTCATGCTGCAGGTAAATTTTAAACTCTGCTAACTAGATGTTAAACTCACACAAGTGAATAAGAGGAAAGGATAATTAATAAATTAATAAATACTATCCTAAAGTTCTGGTTAGTAAAGCTTTTGAATTACAGTGGTACCTCAGGTTAAGTACTTAATTTGTTCTGGAGGTCCATACTTAACCTGAAACTGTTCTTAACCTGAAGCACCACTTTAGCTAATGGGGTCTCCCGCTGCCGCTGTGCGGCCGCCGCGCGATTTCTGTTCTCATCCTGAAGCAAAGTTCTTATAACCTGAAGCACTATTTTTGAGTTAGCGGAGTCTGTAACCTGAAGCGTATGTAACCCAAGGTTTTATATTTATGGGTCTGGACAATTTTTATTCCAAGGGGAGTCAGTTTTTATGCATCCTATGGTTTCAAGCTGCACAATATTAATACAGTGGTACCTCGGGTTACATACGCTTCAGGTTACACACTCCGCTAACCCAGAAATAGTGCTTCAGGTTAAGAACTTTGCTTCAGGATGAGAACAGAAATCACGCGGAAGCAGCACAATGGCAGTGGGAGGCCTCATTAGCTAAAGTGGTGCTTCAGGTTAAAAACAGTTTCAGGTTAAGAACGGACCTCCGGAACGAATTAAGTACTTAACTCGAGGTACCACTGTATCTGTAATACTGGTCACCCTTTTGTGTACTTATCAGTGAAAGAAGGAAAAAATACAGGAGGTCAGCATCAGGAGATCTGGTTAAAACAATGCCCACTGATGGCACCAGTGTTGACATATTCCCCATTTATTCGATTCCCGCATTTGGTGGTGTTGAGCATCAGGAAAATCCAGAGCTGGGTGGCGAAGCTCCATGACAGTTGGAAACGCCATTCAACACTGCAAAATTAACAGGGTACATCAAGCTCAGATCATCAGTTGTTGAACTGAATATCTGCCTACAGGTAGAGCTTCCGCTCCAGCACCATGAAAATTAACTTGACCAAAGAAAATTCCAGCCTGCAATTCTATACACTCTTACTTGAGAGTAAATCCTATGGGATATAGTAGGACTTAGGTAAAGGGACCCCTGACCCTTAGGTCCAGTCGTGACTGACTCTGGGGTTGCGGCGTTCATCTTGCTTTATTGGCCAAGGGAGCCGGGGTACAGCTGGTCATGTGGCCAGCATGACTAAGCCGCTTCTGGCAAACCAGAGCAGTGCACGGAAACGCCGTTTACCTTCCCGCCAGAGCAGTACCTATTTATCTACTTGCAGTTTGATGTGCTTTCGAACTGCTAGGTTGGCAGGAGCAGGGACCGAGCAATGGGAGCTCACCCCGTTGCAGGGATTCGAACCGCTGACCTTCTGATCGGCAAGTCCTAGGCTCTGTGGTTTAACCCACAGCGCCACCCGCGTCCCAATATAGTAGGACTTACTTCTGAGTAAATATTCATAAGATGGCACAATTTCCTCTCTCTTTTACTCCGTGTGTGTGGAGCAGTCGTTTTTTTAGGGAGGGTTGACATGTGACAGGATTTCTGCCCTGCAATGGCTATTTACTATTGCTGCAAATGTAGTAGAAAAAGGAGAGGTTGCATTGCTCACCCAGGTGACAAATTTAAGCAAATGGTGCAGTTTAAAGAAAAGGATGGATTCATATCTGATGTAAAATCTTTGAGGAAGACATTGATTAAACAGAGCTGATGACTAAGATCAAGAACATTTTTAGGTTATATAATCAATTACAAGAAAAATGCACAGCTTTGGCAACCCTTCAATTTATTCATGAGCGTGATGTTTAAGATATTTACCCCCAATTTATCTGCAGTACTTAACATTATTCTCTCTTTAACTGTTGCATTTGGTAAGAGGTCCTTTTCAAAGTTGAAATAGATTAAATAATTGTGTGTGTATTTTTATTTATCACAAGAATGTCAGGGTTACTGACCCTCCAAGTGTCCGTATTTTCCAGGGACACCCCTGATTTAGAGAAGCTTCCCAGGTATGGGTATGGAATTATCCACACCTCACCCCCAAGCGGTCTGAAGGCAATCCTGTATAGGGAAGTTTTTTATGTTTATTGTTTAATGATGTTTTTATATATGTTGGCAGCTGCCCAGAGTGGCTGGGGCAACCCAGTAAGATGTGTCAGGTATAAATAGTAAAATTATTGTTATGGAATGGGACGTCCCTATTTCCATCGGAGAAATGTTGGAGGGTATGGGGTTAGACTGGTTTCAGTTGAACATAAAAGTGGGATTGGTTTGGCTTCCAAGAAGGCTTGAAAAAAGTGCATTTCATTAAACATGGTACTAGATAATGACTCATAAAATTAATCCCTGTACCATTATTTATCAAGGGACTGGCTATCACCAATTTGCCCTATATCCCTCCTTCTATATGCCTTCAACACAGGGCTGGCTGTTTCTGTTTACATGTGAGGATTATTTATATTCATGTATTTACAGTGTAGTGTTGATATAATGTAATATTCTCTGCTCCATGTTTAATAAAAAAAATAAGAGCTCTCAAATTACTCTCTTGTCCAGGGCTCCTAAAATCACAGGATTGCCACTGGTGGCTAATGTGGGTTCACTTGCATTACCAGTGTTACTGCAATAACCCAGAACCTCAAACATTTCCATAGTCATTCAGACAGTCCTGGGATCTTGAAGATGGCAGAAAGCATCAGGGGTGATAGCATTAGGCCCAGGAAAAATATAAAGCCTTATCTGTTTCTTCGTTCACCCTACTGAGGACACACACTCCAGTCCACATCCCCCAGTGTATCTATTCCGTGCCCTCCCCTGGTGATTTTACCTGACTAGAATGTGTCCTTCAAGCTGTGATAATAACTCTTGCTTCTCTGGATGGAAGATGGAGAGTGTTGTGCATCTGACTTAGGGATGGAGGAGAAATGCAATTCTCATTTAAATACAAACTTACCTAACAATTTTGTGCCCTTTCATGATACCCAAAATCTGCTGCCTGAGGCAGCCACTTGTTTGTTGCACATCCTTCAGCATGGTTGCCTCAGAAAGCACCACTGGGTGACTCCTCAAATGTGCTACTATAGCAGTAAACCTACCACGTTACAGGGTGGGCAGTAGCAGGCTCAAGTGGCAGGGAAAGGTCTCATTAGGTAGGAACCTCCTTGCCCTCCCCTCCTCCTCATTCTGTCAACAGAGGAGCTCAGGATGAAATGCTCCATGGGTGCTTCAGTCTACCTAATGATAGGACCTGCTCTGTGCCCCCTCAAGGGCATGGCAGCAATGTGTGTCTCCTAGGATCAGAGATAGCATACCACTGAATGACAGCTGCTGTGGAATATTACTGGAAGAGGGGTATTGTGCTCACGTCCATTCTCCTCCAGCTCCAGGGGGATCTAGTTGGCCACTGTGGTGAACAGGATGGTAGTCTGGATAGGTCTTTGGTCTGCTCCAGTAGGGAACTTCCAATGACCCACTGAAAGACCTCTGTTTTGAAATCTTGCTAGTCAGGACAAACAAATGCCGGAGAAAGTAGTAGGTTAAACTGCTATGGTTGTTTTCTGTTATGTCATATATAAAATGTTTCTATATTTAATACAAAAGGGGTCACTTGGAAGGTTGCTGCATGTTGGCAAAAGGGCGGGAGGGGGAGTGAGAAGACGAACATTAGAAGCTTTCCTACAAAGTTTTAATATTTCACTACAGCATCCCATTAAGCAAACAGTCCCCCCCATTGACATCTAGTAAATTTTGCTAACATTAACATTACATGTCTACCACTTATTTAATTTTTAATTGTGTTATGTTGACAGTTACAAGGCCATGGAAACCCATAGGGTGTGAGGAAAAAGAGAATGAGAAAGAGCACACAAAACAAACATATTCATGCAACTGACAGGATCATATATAAGCATATAAAGCTTTAATTTTTCAAATGCATGTAGAAGAGAGATGATTTTTTTGTATCATTTAGGACAAAGCTCTAAATGTATGTTTCTAGAGATCTAACAGGAGTGTTATTGCCTGAGGTTGCATTCCATCAAAACGGAGAGTCAAAGGATAAGACAGTCTTCAAAATTAATTAGATTTGCAGTTAGCCTTTGGTCCATTCTAAATAGCCCATTTTCCATCTTTCTATAGAATAGACAAAGACAATGAGAAGATCCTGAGGCAAAATCCATCCCCCCAAGTATTCCTAGCTGGCTCCTTGATTTTACAGACACCCCACACACCTCAACAAGTTTCTCTCAGATGCTCATTCCTACACATAAGATGCAGGAAAATGGTTATGAAGGGATGAGAGCTCTGCTCAAGATTCTGTTGCTGTTTGGGCTTGGAAGGAAATGGTTAATGAGAAATGCAGGGAAGCACAAGAAGCTGCTTTATCCTGAGTCAGACCATTGGTCCATTTAGCTCAGTACTGTCTGCACTGATTGGTCATGGCTCTCCAGGATTTCAGGAGGGAGTCTCTTCTGGAGAAGTCATTGGGGATTGAACCCAGGGCTTCTGTATGCAAAGGAGATGCTCTACCACTGAGCTACGTTCCTTCCCCGAATACTTAGACCATTTAGGTGTGTCTGTTGGAAATGTGGTGTTGCATGCCATCCCGATCTCTCAGCAGTGTGAGATTCCAGGGGTTCCAGTCGCTTACTCTGGGTTCATGTTTCCTTGGGAATGAAGCACAGCAGAGCCCATGGTGTCTTTATGATATATGGTTACATACATACAACCTGAGCCTATGATGGCGGGGTTCACAGCATTAACACCACCAAGAGTCTTGTTTCTCCCATAGCTGCATCCTTGGATTCCAATAGAAATCAGGCATGGCCTCCTCCCTTCCTTCCAGCTTCCAGTTTCTAGCACTCTCTCACATAGCTCAGCTCTGGCCTTTGTCTTCTCTATCAGTGATTTGAGGGAGAGGGGGCACCCATTTGTCACTTCTTTGTTACCTTAAACGATCCATATTTAGAAGGTCATTATCAAGAAGTTTGTTTTGCTATTCCAACAATTTGAATCCTTCCTTTGATTCTAACACTTCTTGCTGCATCCAGGAATACATCCTATTCCCCCTCATTAAGAGTGGCCCCCTCAGATATTTAATTGGGGGAGGGGGGGCAAAGACCTCATGGCTCCTGAGAGTTGGTTCCTATGCCAAAAGGTAGGAATTGAAGCAATTGATTCAAGTTACAGGAAAGGAGAGTCCGACTAAAAGTCAGGAGGAACTTTCGGACAATTAGTGCTTGCCATTGGGGCATGGTGGAATCTCCTTTCTTGGAGGTTTTTAAGCAGAGATTGGATGGCAAACTGTCATGTATGCTTTAGCTGAAATTCCTGCATTGCAGGGGGCTGAATTAGACAACCATCTGGGTCCCTTCCAACTCTACAATTCTGTGATTCTATGATCACCAGTGGTCCATGCAATTTATTTGGGTGGTCCATCACATGTCCACATTCATTATCCATATGGATTTTAAAGTGTATTTTAAATGCTTTTTTATCTATTACATTGTATTTAATTGTATTACAGTTTGAATTTTAATGAATGCAAATTGTAATACAATAAAATGCAATATAAAAAATGCAAGAAGCAATTAAAATACAATTAAAAATCACACAGCATCCAACACAACAAATCACAATGTCTGCAACAGGAACGGAAAAACCATTAAGTGGGTTGCCAAGTCCATCAGCAATTTTTGAGTGGTCTGTGGTTTTGTTTTTAAAAAGTTTGGAAACTACTGTTCTAAAGCATGTGGCTTCACCTCTAGAAATTCTATTTGCATTCTGTTTACAGTATTTATAAAAGTATTTTCGTACTTCCCACCTCCAGAAAATAACTCCTAGGGGCCATGGGAGCTTGGGCTCCTACAATAAAATATTTGAGGGGTTCGGACTCCTGCAAAGTTGATGGGTATTGGCATTCAAATAATGTGTGTGCCCTGTGTCATGTGATCAATCATGCAGGGTGGGGTTTACCTGGGCCCCCGCAATATTTCATTCAAGTTGGCACCCCTAGGTGGTGCATGACAGGAAATGCCATAAAGCAATACTAAATCACTAAAATGTCTTGGTCATCTTAAAAAACAAAATAAAAAACAAAAACTGAATAGGCTTGCCACATTTTATTGCAAACCTATCACATTTGAATTATCTAAACCAATATGCAAATAGAAACATAGCCCTCTTTCAAAATGTATACTTCTATGAATTCTGTGATTCAGTTGTGTTGGACTCTGTTTCAATCTCATGGAAATATCAGGGTTGTTTTCTGAGGCATAATAAAGTTTTCAGGGGTATTTCCTTCCTGATGTAGAAAAAAGAAGAAGCTTATGAACAGCTTTTGTGTTGATAGCTTGCAATTGGTGTTGGCTTTTTCCAAGGCTTTGTCATACATTATGTTCTAAATTTGTCTAATGTTTGCTGTAGCCAAAGGAATGGGCAAAGTGATAAACAAGACTCACATTTTCTGTCACTCACCCTAATTGCCTTATGCTTGAAAGGCACCCAGGTCATTGCTATGCACAAATGCAAGGAAAATGCCATCTTTCATAACATGGTTCTGATATACATTTCAATTATCTTCCTTTTAGTAAAAAGCAGGCATGGCACAAATTGTGTGTGATGATTATGTCCTTTTGCCCAGTTACAGCTTCTTATGCCATCAATGCTTGGAAGATTTTGAACGACTGTCACTGCGTACATAAATAAGCATTTGAAACAGTTCTGCTTTGATGCATTTTCAAAGCAGCTTCTTACTGTACACCAAAGAAATTCACTTTCTGAAAGCTAATATTGGAAGAACTACTTGGTGCATCATCTTAACTGGAGAGCCACTGTGCTAGTTCTACAAAGTATTGATATCTGCACAAATGAGAAAATTTATCCTCTCTGTAAACTGAGCTCAGTTCAGCCTTTTTCTCCAAGAAGGTGTGAAAGACAGCATTCAAGGAATTTGGAAGCCACAAAATAGATGCCATTTTCTTAAGGAAACCATTTAAACCAGGAGTGAGGAAACTTTTCCAGTCTGGGGGCCTCATTCTGTAATGGAAAACCTTTTGGGGGCCACATGCCAGTGCTAGGCCAGATCAGAGGCAAATGGTGGAAGGGTGATTGTAGAGATGTTAAACAATTCATGGGACAGAGTTACTATTGAGTGCAGGGTAGTTGAGCAGTATCTCTTAGGGCTGTGCACCAGGCATGGCCAAATCCCCAGACCAAATTGTCCAATTTTGGTCACCTCAGGATTTGTCTGGATTGAATTGAATTGTGTCCACCCAGAATTATCTGGGATGGTTAAAACTTGGAAACTAGTCTCACAGCAAGCGACAGGCAGAGCCGCAGACAACTGTCATATGTCTCCTTTCTACCCCACATGATTAATGAAAAGTTCCTGTTTGCATTCCCCAGCCAGCCACCATGGGCACAACATTATTGCAGGCTCCAAAGGCAACCAACATCTCTGTCTCAGTGCCAAAGCATCCAGGGGTGTAGGAAGGGGGTTGCGGGGAATGTGGTCTGCCCTGGGTGTCATCCTTGAGGGGGATGACAAAATAGCACACCATGGGGGATGGCACTTACCGCAGGGCCTGGCCTGCAGTGCACCTGAGCCACCCGTCTCTCCTGGGACTGACGCGGTGGCTCGGGGGCCCGCGCTGCCCGAAACAACAGCGTGGTGCTTGTGTCTGCCAGGTGGACTCCGTGGGCAGCTTGCCGTGGCGCCCCAGTGTGCGGATCACCGTGGCACCCCCAGGGATGGCTCACCCCGCACCAAGGTAACTAGCAAGGTATCTATCTATCTGAAGCATGAGTTTAAAGGCTTCAGTGTCAGGGATGGGAAAGGTCCAGATGTCCAGAAGTTGTTGGACCACAGATTTCATTGCCGATGACCCTTGGCTATCCTGACTGGGCAAATGTGAGATGGAGAAATCTGTCAATTTCTAATTTTCTTAGGATATCATTTTCCCAATCCTAAATTCAGTTCTCTGCATGTCCACATCTCCATATCACCCTGCTTTTTTGTTTTTTAAGTCATCATGAAAGTTCAGCGTGGATTTATCCTAATACATACATTTTTGTGTATAATGTTCTCTAACATGCACATTACTGCAAAACAATTTCACCTTGTATAGTGCAGTTTTGTGTACTATTTTCACCAACATATGCATTTTATGCGAACTTTAACCTGTTATGTGTGTGTGGTTTTTTTATATATATATACATTACATGGTTGAAGAACTGCTGTGCAAAATTTTGAAGGATGGCTGTGTTTCAATTTATGTATCCTTCTGGAAATGAAATTTCTTGCCTTTAAATGCAAGCCTAATTGAATTTCTACCCCATTCCTAGATGGGACTTCAAGTCCCAAAATATTTAAACACTACCATTTCCACATCCATTTTTTGAACTCCCCAGAGAAACTGACATATGGGGAAAAAATGATTCTACATTGTCATTTGGATTCCCCCCCCCGCTTTTTTCTTTTTTGTCTTGTCAAGGGTAAAGTTTCAAAATGAGTTGCAAAGGTTAAGGTCTGGAAATGGCAGATAATAGCAAAAGGTGAAGTTAAGACATACAGCCTTGAATTCTGCAGCAGGTCAAGGCTAAGACATAAATTAAATACATATTTGCAGAAAGAACCGGTTTATTATTTGATGAAGCCAGCTGTATGTATGTAAACCTGTGAGAATTCACATGAAATCTCCTTAACTAGATGCTACCTGAAATACGAAGCCTAAAACTGAGTTGGTTTTCTACAGCACTCTTAATCTTGCATTCATTGCTCTGCTGCTTTGAAGGAAGCCATCCTGTTTTGATCCATTCTTTGAACCGCAAGATGAGCTGGGGTGAAAATGTTGGTACCAATTTTGGTCAGAAGGAATCCTTGTGTGCACACTCGGCTGCATCTAGACTGTGTCATTGATGGCTTTGCCATGGGGTCCTGGAAGCTGGACCTTCCACATCTACCAGAGCCCACACACTTTGTACTAATTCAGAGCATCAGCTGGCCGACAAACCGATTTCCTTTCCCTCCATTATATTAGGGTTAAGAACAGCAACCCATTAACTTGATTCATTCAGTTTCCCTTGACGGCTTAGTGATGGAGGAGGCTGTTTGCAGGAAGTTCTCTTCCCCTGCCCCCTCTTCCCTATTATAAATTGAATGGGAAATATTGTTCATTGAGGCACTCAGCGAGTGACTGAGCAAAGAACAGCAGTTGCTTATGGCTGAAGGGTGTTAGTAACAAGTGCTGACAGCGGAAGATCTGAAAGCCCACTCAACATATTTCATGCTATTTTCTCTCATTTGGGACAATAATGAGATGATAACTTGATGCTGGAGTATCTCCTCCTCACACACACCCAGAAGTGGGAGCCATGATACATGCTTTTTCCTTGATCACTAGGTCATAATTACTGCTAAGGACCAAAAAGAACGCTGTGATATCCATGCTGCTAATCCATTTGTTTTCATTTTCCTCCCAGGGATGTATATTTTTGCTCCAAAAATAACAGCAAAGAATAACTCACACATAGAACGAACAGCTCGGGTCTCCTGGCATTAAATACATTTCAAAGAGCCATTCCATACCTCATTTTCTCATAGCCATTGGCACATATCATTATTTAACAGAATGGTGTATAAATAGAATGGTTGTCTAGGAACACTGTCAGAGAGAAGGAAGGGTTGCTGTGTTGTTGCTGTTTTTATGTGTTTGTCAAATGCATAAATTGAAGAAGCTAGTGACTATACAAGGAACCAGCTTGTGGGGAAAGTGATTTGGCATGGTACCACAGTCTTTGATTTTTGGGACTTACTTAGGGAGCTGCTATCAGGCTATTGGTCCATCTACCTCAGTATTGCCTACACTGACTGGCAGCAGTTCTGCAGTGTTTCAGGCCAAAGCCTTTCCCGGCCCAATCAGGAGATGCCAGGGATTGAACCTGCATGTAAAGCAGGTGTTCGACCATTGAGCTATGATCCTTCACCCCCAAATAAAATGAGGTTCCTAGCCCACATGGTTCTGAACTAAGGGCTGATTTACAAAGCACACTACCTAACATTGCATCAGACTGCTGGGCTCAGGATTGCTGACACTGGCTGATACAGTGGCTTTCCAAAGTTCCAGGCAGGTTCTTTCCCCCCAGCCTTACCTGGAAATGCTGGGGATTGAAACTGGGGCCTTCTGCATGCAAGGGCAGATGCTCTACCACTCAGCTTCCTTTCCACATCTTTCTTCCCTCTTCTAAACCTGTCAGAGGACATCATAGATCTGATGCATATTTCTGATTTTGTGCAATGAGCAATAGGTTGGAGGAGATGGTCTACAAGACTTCCTCCAGTTATGGTTCTCTGCTTATATTGCTTTTCAAAGTTCAGTTCAGTTTATTGTGTTTTACCAAACAGCCATAACATGCATGACAACAATACTGCTACTAATAGTGGTTTACATTTCTACTCCCACTCACTGGATCATCACCTTGTTGTGGTGAGTGGGCTTGCATGTTCCTATGACCCTTGTGAGCGAAGCCGTCGGGAATCTTGTACTCCCAGCAGGGTCACCCAAGGCGGTAAGATCAAAGGGAAGGAGCCAGACAAAGAATGATCCAAGAAGTCCTCAATGGCAGATCAGGCGGGTGATAACAAGCAGTATGTTACAGCGGCTGTGAAGGCAGATGAAGGCTGCAGCAGATAGGAATCTACTGGTTTGTCGTGACTACTTCATGCCATCGGAACAGAGCCCTACTGCGAAGACTGTGCGTTAGTCAGTGTGCACTGATCTGCCTTAGTAAGAAATTTTGATGTTCTACATATAAAGGATATATACTTCCCTCGTCAGACAACAGAAAACAGGTATTTGCAAGAGATGGCCTTCTCTTCTGTGATCTTAATAATGGGTGGATGTAGTTGTTTCTAAGTTTATTATAAAAAGGGCATTCAAGGAGTGCATGAGTTGTGTCTTCTATTGACACAGAGTTGCAGCTGAAAACTCTCTCCTTCTTAGGAACTCCTGTATGCTGGCCCATCCAATCTGCAGCTAATGGAAGGACGGCTTTTTAAAGTGCTAGGGGAAATGTAACCAATATGGTGCCCTCCAGATGTTGTTAAACTACAACTCCCATCAGCCTCAGCCAGCATGGCCAATTGTCAGGGATTATGGAAATTGCAGTCAAAATGGAAGGGCATCACATTGGCTACCACTGTGCTAGGGGCATGTCATGTGCCATTTTTAGTAATCAATAAGGACATTTTTTTAAGAGAGAGAGAGAGAACACTTTTCATAAAGGCCTTGTAAGGCTATCAGTCAATTTTGCACCTTTTGAGAGCCCTCTTTTCAACCTCCCAAAGTGTTATTTTTCAAGATCCAGTGCCAGCATTTAAATTCCCACCTATAGGCTGATCCATTGATTTATTTTTTACAAGTTACCTGTTACAATTAGATGGATGAACTAATTAATAAAAAGGGAATGAAAGAGGGATTTCACAAGAAATGACAACATTGAATTTCACTCAGGGATTTTGGCAGTTAATTTTAACTTCATAATTATAACAAGTGCTTCTGTTAATCTGGACTTAATCTTTTTTTAAAAATCATTGTCACTCTCTTCCCCTCTCTCTCCCTTCCAAGCATCATCAGAAAACTCAGGTTCACTTCATTTTAATTTAATCCTCCTCAAAGATCCACCCCCCCACCAAAATCCTCCAGAATACCTTTAAAAATAATACTTCATTCTCCTGTGCTCACATAATGATGGGCTTCTAGCTCGCATGGTTAATGCAGAGAGTCAGGACAAAATATATCACCTTTTTTGTTTTTTAAGTGGGGGGAGTTAAAATATTCTGGGAATGAATACACACACTTCCTAGAGTGGTTTAACAATCAATACCTCTTCCCAGGGAACTATGGGAATTGTAGTTCTGGGAGGGGAATGGGGTCTCCTAACAACTCTCAGCAAACTTAACATACTACAGCTCACAGCATTCTTTAGGGAAAGTCATGACTGTTTGAAGTTGTATCATAGTACTTTAAATGGATGGTGTGAATGTGGCCTTGGTATCTGTATGACTTTGTGGGGGAAGTTGCATATAGATTCCTTTAAGAATGGATAAAACTTACTTCTTGTTCAGGAAAGGCTGGTTACTCAGATCCAGAGCAAATGGTTTGCATGCAAAAGATATCAGGTTCAATCTCTGTGTCAGCAGTGTTGACGTGCATAAGCTTATCACAACAGCCCACAGGACCACATCCCCAAGGAGAGACTGAAAATGTAAGTAGATGTGCTGACCCATTGCCCTGCCCACACGAAAGAGAAGCAGTTCACAGTGTAATAACCAATAATTAGGGTCAACTAGCAGGTAGAAAAAACGAAAGTGGCCTAATTCTCTGGCTTCCTCCTGTGCTAATACATGTACCCAACATCACAAGTTCAAAAACCTCGTTATGACCTCATTCTCTTGCCCCGGGGAAGAAGGGTGTCTCAATTACTCTGGTTCTCTGGCAGATGATGTCATAGCTTCTAGTCCTGGAGCTGCATTCTCCCATGTTGCCCTTGCACCCCACAACCAATCTCAGGATAAAAATGCTTTCAGGTAGAAGAGCTAGGAAAGTCATTGCCAATCAGAGCAGATAATGCTGAATTTGATAAGACAGTGTCCTGGTTTATCTAGAGATTAAATTTCAAAAAAATCCTAATTAAACATTATCCCTTTTCACTGTTGGTCCTGTGGTCCCCAAGGAAACCCAGCGTGGGGACAGGGCTATGCACAGACCTATTGCAATATCTGATAGTAGTGAGGGAATTCCTGGTGATCTCATGTGTCAGAAGTTGCAAAGCATTTCAGAATTTGGAAACTCTTGTACAATCCAATTAATCGTGTTGCCGCATTTTCCAATTTCCCACATATTTATTGAGTAGGGAATGCATATGCAAACACACACACCACTTTTCATTTCTCTTAATTGAATGTTTGCTAGAGAGTCCTTACAACTGTAATCAATTTTCAAATAGATTAGAGTCCCATATTAATTTCAGCAAATAGTTTACTCTATAACAATTTGGAGAAACCTGCCTTGATTGTGTGATTATTAACACAGAAGTTAGGCAGTTTCATCAAGTTAAATGGTATTTGATATGTAAACCACCTGCTCAGCATTACAGAGGACAATTCTCTCTCTGGAACAAAAAAGAGAGAGACCATGATGCACAGTGATAATGCAAGATGCCAGTCTTAAAATGACGATTCTCCCAACGCTTCAAGAAATAAAATGGTTATTGTGGCCACTCCACATTATGCTAACAGATGTTTCAGATTATGAGTTTTTGGGTTACGGATGCACCGAAACCCGGAAGTACCGGAACAGGTTACTTCTGGATTTCGGTGCTCGTACATGTGCAGAACTGCTAAATCGCGCTTTGCGCATGCGAAAACGCCGAATTCCAACCTGCATGTGTACAGACGTGGCACTGCAGGTAGCGTACGCTGTGGGTTGTGAATGTGCCTCCCACACGGATCACATTCGCAACCCGAGCTTCCACTGTATTAGAACCCTGTGCAAAAGATTAGAGTGTGGGCCAAAGGAAGCAACAGTTCTTGGAAATATAAAAGCCAGCAGTTATTTGCATTGTCCTCCAGCACTAAATGGAACTCATTGGTCCTTTTGAAGACCAGGTTTTAAAAAGGGATAATTAAATGGAATTTTACAGAAGGCAGAAAAGGTTGGGCAGTTGGGGAAAAGGTTGCTAGTAGAAGACATGGTAAAATACCCTATGACCATAAAATAGTGAATCAGGAAACTCTTTGCAAAGGGAGGAATGTTGCAACAAGCCTGAGGGGGCAAGTTAGTGATAATAAAACTCAGGCAAAAATATACTAGTTGTATAACATGTGTATGAGTGTGTGTGTGCATTTGTGTAAAACAGGCAACTAGCAAGGTTGCATGAATTAAATCAAACATTTAATTTTACTTATTTACGGAATTTCTTGACCACCCTTTATGCAACCACAGTCACAGGGCGGTTTCCAAAACAATATAGTCAGTGATTATTATTTTTTTAAAAAATGTGTATCTATCAAACAAAACATTAACCTAGTAAACAGCAAGGCAATCAACAACTACTAGATACATTATAACTAGTGATGGGGAAGAAAGTATGTTTGCATTTAAAAGCAATTCCACCTAATTTACACAGTCCAAAACAATCTGAGAATCAAAACACAGCCATCTTTGAAAATCCACACTTTGCTGAATGTTGCAATGAACTTCTTCAGCCAAGTAATGTGACCTAAAATGCATATATCAGGGTAAAGTGTCAATAAAATGCACATACAGTGGTTAAGTACCTCGGGTTAAGTACTTAATTCGTTCTGGAGGTCCGTTCTTAACCTGAAACTGTTCTTAACCTGAAGCACCACTTTAGCTAATAGGGCCTCCTGCTGCTGCCGTGCCACCGGAGCACGATTGCTGTTCTTATCCTGAAGCAAAGTTCTTAACCTGAAGCACTATTTCTGGGTTAGCGGAATGTGTAATCTGAAGCATATGTAACCCAAGGTACCACTGTATTGGTGAAAATAATGTAGAAAAATCAGGGGGAAATGTTGTCCTAGACAAAATAGCATACAAAAGTGCTTATATTAGGACAAATTCTCACTAAAACGCTGATGAATTTTTGTGATTTTTTATTTTTATTTTTTTGGGTGGGGAGGTTTGCAAACTGATGTGGAAATGTGGAGAACTGAACTTAATATCTGAAAAATGAGAAACTGAGAGAACCCTAAAATGACTTATTCACCCATCCCTAGTGATGACAATACCAGCAGGCCTTCTATCAGTCATTTCCACTGAAAATATCTGTGGTTGCGTTTCATTATTTTTTTGGGGGGGGGGTCCTGCTGATTGATGCACTTCTTCTTTATTTGGCTGGCAAACATGTCCCTGAGGCTGACTAGCACCTAATTTCAGAAGACACTGCTGTATTGTTAATAATAACAGGAGGTACCTTCAAGATGCTGTTATTAGAGTTATCACAAACTCTAATGGGCTGACATCCTCTTTAGAATTTCTAATTGTAAGCACTCATTCTCCCTAAGTGTGGTAATTCTCCTGACAAATGTGACTTTCAAATGGGTGCTGAAAGAGTTCATCTCCAGGCAAGCCATGGTCCACTGGGAACATGACAATGGATGCATACTCATCACAGGAGAAGTGTAAGAAGAGGAGCACTACAG